CAAACGAAGTGTTTGCACACCAGCCAGGAGGAACCACTCTTAGGTTGACTCTTCCCAGTCGCTGCAATGGCTATGAATCTCCGTAATGAACTCTGAAATGACCGATTAATTAGGCGTTAATCCAAGAGCGCCTAAGACAGATCTATCCTTGAGAATGGCGTCTGCACGAACATATCAAATCTTTGATCATGCATTTTACTGGCCCAAACGAGGATGGTGTGTGTTTTCACTGTATCATTTTAATAAAATTTGTTTGACATTCGAAGCTCAGCACATGCGTCAGCCTTCGGTTAGAACTGTTTCATTAGTCCTATTTGGAAGAGCTTGATAATCGTGGAAAAAGGCACTATACCGTACTTAATCCTGGCATGTCATCTTGTACTCTGTTCATTGTTCATTCTCTATGGCATGAGCGAAGACCAGGATATTGAACAAACATCTGTGGCAATGATACACATTATTTTCAAAGTGGCGCACTTTCTTTTCATTACACTAGAGGGCAATGTGATAAATTTCTCGCCAAACTTATCATTGTATGAAGTTACGTGTTCTTATCATGACCATTTACAAATTGCCAATCTCCGTTCTAACGGTAGAGGGAATTATGCTTACCATACCATCTTCGACCGCATTAATACGAATGCGACATTTGCATTATTCGACTTCTTTAGTCTAGATTTGTACTGAAATTGTATTCCCTTAGAGCGAAGTGTCTTAGTAGGCAAAGTACGAATATTAAAGGCACGTGCCAGTACTCTCGCTGCCCAGTACTACTGTACTGCTCCTAATAGATGAATATAACTCTAGAGAAGTTAGACCGGTTTTCAGACGGTTATAGCGAACAACTGAAACACGAAAAATCAAAAAGTCAGATGATTAACTTCGCGCTCCAAACTTTAAGTCGAACGGCGGCTTCTCCTGCCTGAGAGTAGTTTATGATCTTTTAGGTAAAAAATTATTTTGAAGAATGAGGAGGTGATGCTCGACTGGAACTTGGCATTGCTTTGAACCATTTGTAAAATCAAATATTTCGATGTTGCTAAGCATCTGCTTACGAGAAGTTGCTTCGGTGGGAGTG